ATGGATAATTAATCCAACAAATTTGTAGGATTATTAGTAATGGGGTAGGGGTGGGATAGTTAATACCACACTAATTTGATAGGATTATTAATACCTCACTATTAGTATTGTGAATCAAACATGGCCATAGTGTTAAGCAAAACAATATCTTCCCTAATTAAAGACAGAAATAAGAGGCCATTTATATGTTAGTACAATGCAACTCAGGAATCAACAATCATGTATTTTCCCAACAAGATAGAGGTAGAGAACATATCAATCAATCATCAAACATACCCAAATTGCAAATCATAATAAACTTCTCCAATTAGTAAACAAAACCAACCATCCAAATCCACCAAACAGAGATCCCCAATATAAACAAAATCATACCAAATCTCCATCAAACCCCAAAAAACAAGAAATCCCTAATTACAAAGTTAAACCCATATTACTCCTAATATATCTAAAACCCAGCTGCATTCAAACACCTTCCAATCTCAAAAGAAAGAAAAGCATCAATGAAGCATACTGAACCTGTTCAGGGTAGAGCCACTCATTGTCCCACCTACTCATCGTAATCCTCCTGGGCTGCTCAATCTCCTTCCCCAGCACCTCTCTCGCCAAGTTCTTCAACCCCGCATTGCGAAGCTCGATCATGCCGCAGTCAGCCGCCAAGGAGAGAAGATCAACAGTGGTGGCCACAGACAACCCATAATCCTCAGCCAACTTCTCGACATCACTGTGAATTCCCACACCGACAAAAGTGTAGATACGGTTGTTGAGGAAGTCGAAGAGGGATTGGGGGATTTGGGGGGAGTAAATGAGTTGGAAGACGAGGCATCGATGGCCGACGCATAGTTGGAGAGTGGCGGCGGGGTTATCGTGGAAACGGTTGTTGGGTCGCCACTCGATGTCGAGGCCGACGATGAGGCGGTGGAGCCGGGGACGATGGATGGCTGTGATTCGAAGATTTAGGAGTCTACGAGGAAGGGCGAGCGATTGACGAGTGACGTTCCAAAAAATACATATGGTACAAAAATACATAATAAAAAACACATATGATACAAACTCTATTTCAATCTTAAGATGCAATTCGTTCCCAAAAAAAAAAAAAAATCTTAATTCGACGTGTGTATATTTTTTATCAAAAGAAAAAAAAAAAAAAAAAAAGGACAAATTACAAATGCTCCTTTCAAGGTTTACTTAAAATATAAATTGTGTCTTGTGATTCTGAAAATTATATCATGCCTCTTCAAGTTTTCAATGGTATAACAAATGTCTCAATCCATTAATAAATTGTCAAATCAATTAACAGTTTTTAACTATATTAGAAATTTATTTTAATTAATAATTCAAGTAATTTTATTATTGTATAAGAAAGAGGTTAAAAATTTTATTTTTTCTATTAATTTTGTTAAATAAAAAATTTTCACGAAGAAGTATTTATAATTTTTAAAATTACAAGAGTAATCGATATTTTAAACAAATATCGCGTATTTATAATTTACCCTCAGGATTAATAGCATACACATATTCTTAAGATATGCTTCATGCCACCAGTAATTGTTTACTAGTAGACTGATGTTTATTGACACTAATTTGCACGGCTCTGTTCATTATTTACAAACAAACTGTTTTCTACTTCAAAAATTTTGTCAAATGTTTACATTACTTTCTCTTCAATTACTGCATAGGGGATGATCGTGACAATGACAATGACTTTTATGATGCCTTTGACGATGATGATGATGGTGAATATTAGCAATTTTGTCGAGTATTAGTAACAACAGATTGTCAACACTTCATAAAATATATATATATATATATATATGTACCTTATTGGTACACAAAAAAAATTGCCATTGTACAAAAAAATTATTCCATCAGGAATGATTGTCAATATTAACAAATTTGTAATTTTTTTGCTCTACATGTGTGTTTGTGTATAACTCAATGAAGCTTCTGTTTTGTCCTTAATTCAGCTACCCGGGGTTTATCAAATCATGATGACTGCTTAAGGTGGAAAGCCCATTCCTTAGGTCAGTTCTCTGTGTCTTTAGTTTATAATAGGAGTGTGCCCTCTTCTCATATATAGTGTTTTAGCAACTGATTCACTAGATAGAATAATCCTCCTAATTAAAGCTCAATTTTTTGGGTGGCTAGCATGGAAATGGATAGTGAAAACTTCTCATCTTGCAAAGGATTAGTGTGCTAGGAGGGAATGTTAGAACTATCTGTGGTTTCTGCGTTTCAGAGATGGAAACTGTTAATCTTTGTTAATGTTGTGTCCGCTAGTATGGAGAGTGGGGGGGATTCAGTGGGCAATGCCTGATTTGGTGGAAGGGTTGCTAAACTGTTGGACTAGTTTCAGATTTAAAAGGCTTTGAACATGACGAGGATGGTTTAATGGTTGGGGATGAGGACCCACATATGGCATTGGTGCGCCTTCACATATGCGACAAATTATGTTACATGCGTAATAACGGGATGTTAGGAAATATATAATAGTCGACCTAATTTCCGTAGGGTTGTAACATTACTAATGACACACGTGGAACAGACTGTATTGAAATATATTATCATGTACAATATGTATGTGTTTACACGAGGATATACCCCTTTCCAGTTGGTGACGTGCCGCACTCTGAAAAACCAAAATACACAAGATCGGAAATGCTTAATCCATTTTTTTAAAATGTAAAATAAAAAATGTGAGTGAATAAGAAAATGACAAAATCGTAAATTTTTTAAAAAAAAAACGAAAAAAATACGCCTCATTCAAAAACATTTAAAAAAAATAACATGAAAACATAAATCATCATTCGCCACGTAATTTACAAAAAAATGAAACACATAAATAGCAAAAACAAGTGCTTCTATACCAATAAAAATAAAGAAAAAGAACTAATTTATGTAAAAAGAAAAAAACAAAGACAAAAACAAAAATTTTAAAAAATAAAAAAAATTAAGCAAAAAACGCCAAATTCAAACCCAAAATAAAAAAATTAAAAAAAAAAAAAACAATGAAAGCAAAAAACGCCAAATCCACTTCCAAAATAAAAAAAAATGGTTCGAAAAATACACCAAATTCAAACCCAAAAAAAAAAAAAAAAATTAAGAAAAGCAAAATATGGCAAATCGAAACCCAAAATAAAAAAATAAAAAAAAAACAATTAAGAAAAAAACGCCACATGCAAACCCAAAATTAAAATGAAGAAATAAATAAATAAATTAAGCAAAATATGGGAAATCCAAATCCAAAATAAAAAATATAAAAAAGTCAAAAAGGGTAGTTTGGTAATTTAACAGGATGACATCTCACCAAAAAGTCAAAAAGTTAAAAAGTCCTTCCCAAATCAGGCTTTTGAACCCCAGGCTCATATAGCCAAAAAAGTCAAAAAGCTAAAAAGCCAACCCCTTCCCAAACGGAGGCATAATTTATACTAGTAGATTATCTAGGTGCAAGAGTAATGTTAATATATTAGTATGTGGTGGGAAATATATATTTTATAGTAAATCATCTAGGTGCAAGGGAAATGTTAATTTTTATTAACATATACTAATATGATTTTCAATGCATCATGTTTTAAATGAAAAATGATATATTGATCTATTTTATAAATTTATTATATAAATTTAATGATATGTAAGTAATATTATTGATTAATGATTAATGATTAAGAAGATAGAAGAGGGAATATTACTTTAAGGGATTGTTTGAGATATTCTAAATAAGGGTATTTTTTTTTATTTTTTATGAAACATAAGTTGGGTTCGAACTGATTTTGACTTTTTATGAAATATAAGTTGAATTTGAAGTGATGTGGTAAAAGAAATAATGTGACTTAAATAAGATGATGTGATTTAAATAGGATACAGAATTTTTAATTTTTTTAAAAAATATCAAACCTAGCGTAAATATCATATCTTTAAATTTAAAAATAAATTAAAATTTAAAATTTATATAGCAATGGCCTTTCCAAAAATAAGGTCAAGTTTAGAAAGACTAAATAAGTCCACACTTTTTATCTTTTTTAAGTCATGTTAATCAATATATTCTTTTTATTTTTTTACATATCTTTTTAATAAAAAATCTAAAAAATATACTTATTTAAAACATTACCAACAACACTAAATTAGTAGGCCGTGGGTTTTGAAAACATAAATAGTGAGTAGATGGGGGAGCGGAGGACGGACTGCCCACCATCTCTGACATCTCCAGGCCCTTAATAAATACCCCGATTTGCTGGAGCTTTTGCTAGACTTTACTCTTAGAGCGAAAGAAAAGAAGGAAGATAGAAATCGTAGAAGAAGATGGCAGAGAAGAGAGGTAGCATTGCCTTCTCCGCAACCTACCGACCACCGGTGCCGCTGGACATATTCTCGTGCCCGCTTCAAACAACATCGAAGCAAGATGAGCTTCCAATGACTGACGGAGTGAACTACAATTACAACGGCCAAGAAATTTCATCGGCGGCTCTCAAGACAATTCTCAAGCGCGAAAAATTGGCTTCCGAAGGCAAAGAGGCCGATGTAAATTCAGGTCGTCTTAGGGGCATGGTTTTCGTCTCCGAACGACAAGGCCTCGAATTGCTTCACATAGCTCTCCGCTTCAATGACAACCCACCCAAAGTCAAAGTCTTCTGTTTGGCTGATGTTTTCGGCAAAGCCAATTTCAGTGGTGTTCGCATGGAAGACAGTGGTTGCATTGCCGGTGATAATCTCGTCTATGTTACCACAAAGGACCCCGCCCCTGATCGTCGTCAGCCCTGGACTGCCGTCTATAAAACCAATCTTAAGACCGCAAAAACCGACCGCCTCACCCCATCAGGTGAGGTTCCTTTCGTCATTCATTCTTTTACTACTACCCACCCATAATTCCTTCCTTAGTTGCACCTAGTGTTCTTTTATTTTGGTTGAAGTTATTAATATTTAGTTCTAGCTGTTGTTGTAAGTCTTTTTGTGAGTGATTCATTTTTTGTGACAAGTGTGGTGATTTGAGTTGAGGTTGCTCTGTTCCAAAGAAAGATCCATTTATAATAGCTGAATCGATTTCTTCTCAAGCTTTTAGATGGATGCACGCAAAGGTGTTTCTTTAAAGGTCCCAGTAAGCTTGGTGTCTCTTATTCTGGAGCCCATATGTTTCTTAGCAGATTTTTCTTGGTGGAGTTTTTGGATATCGGTGTTGTAAACTGACTAGCGCCTTGCTAGGGCCTTTTGGACATTGGAAGTTTCTAGGCTTGATTCCAAGTAGGTTTCTTTTCTTTTTGGGTTCGCGGTTTTAGATTTTTTTGTTGAAGTTATTAGTGTTTAGTTGTAGCTGTTTCATAGTTTCTGCAGTTGGCTCCTTGCCAACTGCTTCGGAGCTCCTTTTTGCTTGATTCTATTGAGCATTGTGTGAGTGAGGTAGCCTTGATGCTTCTTTAGTTTTCCAGCTGTGTCATTGGATTTTATAGTTTGTACGTTTCCTGTTTCATCAATATGACTTTTGACCTATCTAAAAAAAAAAAAAAAAACAGGGAAAGCTGATTTAAGCCCCTCGGTTGCACCGTCTGGGACGAAGATAGCAGTGGCGTCGTTCCAGGAAAAGCCTGGTGGTTGGGATGGCGAGATCGAAGATCTACAGACTGATATTTTTGTGATGAATGTAGAGAAGCCCTTCAACCGCAAGAAGGTTGTAACGAATGGTGGGTGGCCGACGTGGGGAAGTGACAATGTCATATTTTTCCACCGCAAGGAAGGGGAATTTTGGGGTGTGTTCCGTGCCGACCTCAGCAACGGTATGGAATCTCGTGTGACCCCGGACGGAATTAAGGCGATGACTCCAGCAGCCATCAACGCCACCACAGTGGCAGTGGCAACTATTCGTCAGAAATCAGAGTTCCTGGAAGTCGTCCGTGTAGAAGCACAGTATCGGCACATTGAGATTTTTGATTCAACTGGACAGCAACAGAACATACGAATCACTCAAAATACCATGCCAAAGGCTGACCATTTCAACCCCTTTGTGATAGATGGTGGGAAGCGCATTGGTTACCATCGATGCACGAGCGACCGTCTCAAGGTACACACCGATTAACCACTTTTCAAACTAATTCCACCTTTGAATACCTTTTCTAGCCAGCCATGTTTAATTAACTTAAGAGCTAACCTAATACATACGTACAATTGTTACTTTGTGACAGAGTGGAGAAGATATCCAAAGAAATACCCACAAGCTCGATTCCCCGCATCCGGAGGTAGGACTGTTTAGGGTGCCAGGAATCTTTCCAACATTTTCCAAAGACGGCTCCAAGCTTGCATTTGTGGACAATGAGTTCAAGGCCGTGTGGGTAGCCGATAGCAAAGGGATGCGTATTGTTTACCAGGTACATAAGTACAAGAATAATATTACTATAATTGTGTTAATGCGCAATTGTGTTTATCTTTGATCGATAGTTGATGATCAGTTTTGTTTATGTAGACAAAAGGCCCAGACAACGTCTTCTCGCCAGTTTGGAGCCAAAATCCAGAAAAGGATATATTGTATGTTAACATGGGACCTTCTTTCCAATCTAAAGAAATACTAAACATCTGCGCTATACCTGACGTGGCCAGTGGTGCACATCGTCGTGTACAACTCACAAAAGGTTCCAATAATGCCTTCCCATCCACCAATCCAGACGGTAACTTCCTACTTGTTCTTTCGAATTCCTTTCCAAATACCCAATTATAATAGAATAGTATATATTGGCATGGCTCCTCGCCAAGATAATATTTTAGTTCAAGAATTAATTGGTGGGCTCAATTTATCCATTGAAAGTAATTTAACTATTTTGATAACTTAATGATGTGTGCCATTTCAAGGTCAATTCATAAGAAAGAAATCCTACATTTTTTCACCAATCCTTGGGCAACCCATTAGGAAGTCAGCAACTAATTATAATATTATAGCCTTTTCCAATGTCAATATATATGCTTTTGAATAACAAAAAAGACCCTTTATTATAATATTATAGTTTCCAGTTTTAATTTGTGCTGATGGATGGGCTGAAAATTGTAACAGGGACGAAATTAGTTTTTCGATCTACAAGAGATGGAGGGGATGAAAAACACAAGAATCTGTACATAATGGAGAACGCACAATCAGGGGAATATGGAGGAAGTGAAATAACAAGGTTAACAAATGGGCCTTGGACTGACACACATTGCCAATGGTCCCCAAGAGGAGATTGGATAGTATTCTCGTCAACCCGCGACAAGCCTGAAGGTACACCAGAAAAGGACAATGGTCTTGACCCAGGATACTTTGCGGTGTTTCTAGTGAAGGCGAATGATCCGTCAGTGGTAGTAAGAGTGATGACAAGTGGAATTGACGTTGCAGGGCATGTGAACCATCCATTCTTCAGCCCGGATGGAAAGAGCATTGTTGTGACTGCAGATCTTGCTGCAGTGTCTGCTGATCCCGTATCTTTGCCTCTCTTCCTGCACTCTGTGAGGCCTTACGGAGATATCTTCACTTTCGACATTGACCCGGATAACATAAATAAGAACAAGAATGTGAAGAAGTTCAATCGCATCACACATAGTAGATATGAGAATTCCACTGCTACTTGGACCATGTTCTCAACTCAAGACCCGAATGCTGCATGGAACATGCTTTTAAACAAAGCCTTCACTCCATCTTGCCCTTATGCACACAGCGATGGAGGTGAAAGTTGGCACATGACTGGCCACCTTTGCATTCCAAAAAGATGTTGTTGATTGCCTTTATGTTCCTATCTCTTCTTTGGTGCTTTTAGTGGTCTTTGTGGATGCTATGGTATTTTGCTATTGAACTATTCCTGGTGTTCCTCGTTTGGTGCTGCTGTTTGGTGGACGGGCATATTGACGATTCTGTCTGGTTTCCTAGAGGTTGGTTTGAAAGTGCACTTCCAGAGTTCCAACAGATGATTACTCAGTGTTAACTTTCCTTCCTCATTGTCGTTAGCTGTTTTTCACTCAGTGTTTTGTTCAGTGTTTTTTTGATTGTTGCAGACTGCTTTCTGTTTTTTTTTTTGGTTTCCTCTCTAGCTGCTATGCTTAGCTAGTAGGCTTGTTTTGGGGAAGTTGTCTTCCTGCTTTCTACTTTCTATTATTGCTGTATCTCATGGATTCTCCCATGTTTTCACAAATAATATTTTCTTTGCTGATTAAAAAAAAAAAAAAAGGATTAAGTTGGGTTGTTTGTGGGTTTCAAGCTATAAGGTGCAAGCTAAAATCTTCTCCAGTTGTGGTCGCTTTATTTTTATGTTTTTGTTGTTTAAAAATGAAAAATAGTCAATAGGAGAGTTTGCACTCTCTGAATCTCTCAATGCATTTTTTTTCATTGTACCTTCTGTTTCATATTTTTAATGAAATGTTCATTTTTGGATAAATAAAAAAAAAAATGTTCCTATTGCTTGTCTTATTTGCTGATAAATAATAATAGTAAAAAAAAGATTAAGTTGTTTTGTTTGTGGGTTTCAAGCTATTAAGTGTTAGCTAAAATCTTCTTATTTATTTATTTTTTCAATTGTAGTTGTTTTGTTTTTATGTTTTTGTTGTTTAAAAAAGAAAGATAGTAGTGGGAGAGTTTGCACACTCTCCGTAGTTTATTCAATCGTGATCTAGATAGATCATGTAGTTTATTCAATATCTAGAATTAATATTTTATTAATTGTTATGGAGAAAGCGAAACAAAACAAACTGGGCTAGATCTCCGAAGACAACAGAAAAAAGCCAACATTGCAGGGGGGAAAGTTTACTTCCGTCTTCGTGAAAGAGTCACTCTAATAGGAACCGTATAGGAACCGTCTTCTAACCTTATGGAAAGAAACTTCCCCCATAACCAAATACCTCTTCACCTTAGTAGACACATTGTGAAAAGAAGATCCTCTAGATGAATTAATTTCTCCAGAGAAAAGAGGTACCCATGTTAAAGTTGATACCTTCCCATCAAAAGAGTAGTAGTAACCATGGTCACTCCTCTAGACCCTAATAGCCTATATTCATTCCCAAATTACTCCATTATTAACACTAATCCTACCACATTTCTCTTACAGTTGCACAATCTCTTCTCGAAAAACCCCTAAGGGTAGGGAAGGAAGAAAACCCAAACCGGACTAAAAGATTAAGGCAAGCAAAGATAAAGAAAGATGATCCATCATCTTTAGCCGAGGTATATCTCTAATCAAATCAAGAACCAACTCCCTAAATTTCCTTTGTTTCTCACTTGTCTTCCTCCACAGTAACCATTTGTACTGGAGGAATCAGAAGACAAAGGTAAAGATCCCAAGAAAACCACCTCTGGATCTCAGCCAGAAAATTCAAACCCAGCATCCCTTAATCCTATCCCCATGAGCAGACAAAGTCCTGGTGGTAGAAGATGCAAATTTTCTTGCCATAAACCAAGTACATGTCCAAAGAGTGACTTCCCAAACCAAAAGAAGAAGAAGAAGAAGAAGCTAGCAATGAGTGCATCCTCCAGTCCTAACAAATCAACGGACTCGGAACACTAGGACCAAAGTTGATGCAACTGTGGAAGAAACCTGAGAAACCAATGGACATTATAGTCCAAGATCTCCTGTCGCCCTCTTCGAATAACAAGGAAAAACTCAAAGTACTTTATCTCCTCCTTATGTACAGAGAACCAAGAACTCTTCAGCAGCCCTTACTTCTGCAAAAACTAATCAATCTAAGTTGACCCCAAGTGAAGCTTACTCTGACTCCTTTGCAAGAACCAATTGCATCATCAATCGGGTAAACAAAGGCCAAATTGGCAGCTTTCTTTGAAAACTAGATATAGACACCGCGATTTGGTTTGATCGATAAAACCTAGACCCGCAGATGTTTTGTGGATCCCTAATGATGGGCTAATACCGAACAAATTTAAACATGTTGAATATATGATGATTAAACTGGGTTATATCTATGTTTATGTCATGATTAAACTAACCCTAATAGGCAACAAATATGCATCTAACTAGAACATGCAAAACAATAAAAGAACATGCTGAACTACTAACCTATATGAAGCTTTGTATTAAACCAACACCCTAACCATGATCATCTATGTAAAACATGACTAAAATATTCTAAAATCAGAGGAAAACAAGAACTTGCTAGTTTGAAATAAATTGAAGAGCAAGAAAAAGGCAAGAAAAGAAAAGATTTCCTTGCTTGCAAACTTCCCTCAGGCTTGGCTTTGATTTGATTCACTTTCTTTAAACGCTAGTTCTACTTTTAGTTGTAGAGCTATTGGGCTTATTTGGTTTGTATCTCAAAATACAATTTTTGAGAAATTTTTTTAAAATTTTGTTTGGTTTAAATTTTTTGAAAAAAAATTTCAAAATCACTTTCTCTCTCTTACACATCAATTAATCACTTTTTCTCTCACACACATATACTCAACTACAACAAAATATTAAATTATGCCAAACTCCCAAACTTCAAAATGTGGACTCGCCTTTTTTCGCGTCCCGCCTTTCGGAAAGGGGTTTGAAAAGAAAGGCCTCACAGTTTGGACTCCCGCGGTTCTGAATCTAGTTTCACAAGTGCAATGTGAAACTGATAATCACCAAAGAGTCCAAATCTGAAAAATCGTTTGAAAAATTGATTTTGAATCAAAAAATGTCAAAATTGGACTGCTTAGACATATACAGAGACGTTACCTAAATATTTTATTTTGGAAAAATTTAGAAAACCTTGACTGGTGCCAAAGGCCACGTGTCCATCATCACCAAAGTTGCCTCGGCTCGGGAACTTGGGTATGAGAGGGGAAGGTCCTGAAATGAGCACCCTCATTCGCCCAATCAAAGATTGGCCTCTACTAATCATGATATGATGTTTTATAAATATTATGTGTTCTTATTCCGGTTATTACACTAGCTTTACTATGTGACACGCACAAGCAAGTATAGGCTAGTTTGCTCAATTTGGAACAATTTAACTCTTGTTTGTTTTCGAAAAATGGTTTGAATTTGCCACCCTCAAGTGGGCTTAAAGCTGCGGATTTGCCACCAATCATAGTGGGCTTAAAACATGATTTTGCCACAACAAAGTGGGCTTAAAACATACATTTGTTGAATCATTCCAATTCAAACAACAGGCCTTCATCTACAGGCATTCATGCAGTTTAGCAAGTAAGCACATAGCCTCATGGTAAGCATGCGAAACATGGCAATATGGCAATCACACTCATGCAAGTATGCTAAAGCATAAAAACTTACCGAGTACACAAAGCCAAAACAAAAACTAGTTAGAAAGATGCATGATCCTAACTATACAAGATGTTGTAGACACCCCATATTTGACCGCCTTTAAAACTTGGGCGCCACTGATTGTTTACTTGGTGATGAAAGGTGGGTAGTGCAAAGGTTCGATTTCTTCAGCAAGAGGAGCTTCAAATCCCAACCTTACACCCCATTTTGGACAAAAACTATGTTGACCAAAAAGATTTTAAACCCTACAACCCTCTCTTTCAAAACATTTTTGAAAAAAAAAGTTTCTACGATGTTCCAAAGCTCGCATTTTGTTAAATGTTGCATTTTTCGGTAAATTGAGCAAGGACAAAGTGGAAATCAATGGAAGAGAGGTAAACTCTTTGAAAAAAATCTTCAAAACACCTTATTTAGGGGTTTGGAGTTGAAGAAAATGGGAAAGGAGAGAAGAAAACTAGTTGAGGAGAAGTTGAGCATGAATTCCGGTAGGATTGAAACTGAGTAGTCTTCACTAAAATGAGCATAACTTTTTGCACAATTGGAATTTTGATGTGAGGCTGCCACCATTGGAAAGAAGACTTCCAGGGATTTAATTTAGGCTCAATAATGACCTACAAATGAGTCTAGATGAAGGATATATTCCCATTTGAAGTTGGGCCCAAAAAGAAGATTTTTCTAGCCAACCAAAGATGAAAATTTCTGGCCATGAATGGGCTTTTCTGGCCATGTGCTGGCCATGAATGGCCTATGCCAGTCCCCTGCCGTCCAAGAGTGTTCTTTTCCGGCCAACAATGGACATGTGCCGACCATCAATGATCTCTTGCCGGCCATTGATGGAAAAAGTCAGATTTTGGCAGATATTTGTGTTCCAGCTGTCCCCTTTGGGATATTTTCGATCTGAGCTTGCATTCTTCTATATATAGAGAGCCTTCTCTATGGTTTTCAAGGTTAGAATATTTAAGGAAGAAAATTTTGGGAGCCTCTCTCTCTCTTGAACCTTTGTGCATAAGTGCATACAAGTGTAGATACACATCTCCTTGGCCTATACATCCTTAACCAAAGTTGGGTTATCTTGGAGCTGAGGTTCTAGAAGGTCTTCTTGGAGCTCTTGAAAGGGATTTTGCTTGGTTTCGTTGCCTAAAATTGTGTTGTTTTTCAAGAGGTATAACTCTCTCCCTTTAAGCTTGTTTTGCACACTTGTTTTGCCACCTTTGCAAACTGTTTTTGACCTGGTTTTCAACTACAAAAACCTCTGTTTTTAAGGGTTAAAAATGGTGGTTTAAGCCCTTTTTGGAGTTAGGGGTGGTCCACCCTTCTTGTAGCTTGCTTGCTAAGTTGTTGTGCCATCTTTCAAAGTTGTTTTAAATCAAACTTTTTGGCCTTTCTAACCACTGAAAATTCTCTTTCAGTGGCAAAAATCATGTTTTGAGATCCAAAATAGGAGGGGTTGGCCTCCCCTCCTTATGTCTTGCTTGTAAGTGTAGATAGCCTAATATGTGAGCATGTTTTTTCTACCATTTTATGACTTGATTTCAGCTGTTTTTGCTACTTTTTTGACCTTCTTTAACTCTATTTTGAGCTGGTTTGGACACTTGAGACTTGCTTTGTATGCTTGTAGTGCAATGGTGCTTAATAGTCTAGTTTGTGCTATGTGTTAGCCTTTCATTCTAGCCTTTTTTAGCTTACTTCAAGCATGTTTTAGGGGTCTTTTTAAACTATTCTAGGACTGTTTTAAGGTGTTTGTCCCTTGTGAGCTTTGTATTGCATGGCTATAGTGCAAATGCCTTCACTAGCTTTGTGTTTTAAGGCCCCTAACATGTTGTGCATGAGATGGTTGCATGCCATAACATCATTTTACACATGTTTTCAGTGTATATATCTCTGTTACACTCTCACATATTCCACTCTTTCATTGCTTTCGAGAGTTATGTTTTGTGTCTTGTTTGTGAGCCAACATGCGAGCATGTTT